ATTAAATTTAAAAAAACAACAAAAAATTAGATGTATCCTCTGTTCCCAGCCAACCGCCAAAATATTCAGAACAATCTTAGGGTGGCTTTCTTTTCTAGTAGAAATAATACTGATATGCATCCCAAACCTGTGGGTTGAACTATACTGTATGTAATGTGTGCTTTTTTTCTTAGTGAAAGTTCAAACTTCAGATATAATGAAACAAATTTAACTTAAAGAAGGAGAAAGGTAAAGTATTAGAAATTCAGTCAAAAAGAAAAAAAAAAAAAAAAACTAAGAATCAGGATATCAGTTATTGTGCTCTGGAGACATGCTGGGTGAGCTTTGTGCCTCTGCACATTAAGTTACAGTCAAATTAATTTCAACTTTGGAGATCACTGGGTTTCAGTTGAACCACGTACAGAGGTTCTCATGTACTTTTGTTAATGGTCTTGAATGAAACAATTGAATTAAAGTTTTATGAAAATCATGAGCTGTTGTGTAATTGTCTTTTATTTTTGAAAGTCTGCTTTATTTAAGACTGAATACAACTTGAAAGCATCAACTAGCTGTGGAATGTATCATGCAGACCAGTGTTCAGTCAAGCACAGGAAATGACCAACAGTTGTTACAAACAGACCAATGTGCATATGCGTTGTTTAGTGCTCCACAGCTAAATCTTAACTAGGGCTTCTCAGCAGATGACAACATGTACAAATTCACCAAAGATAAATTCAGAGCTTTTAGTCCAGTGCCACCCCTCTAAGATGAGCACCAGCTCTCTCCAGGAGTGCAGTATTTGTGTTGCAGAGAACAGCGAAATGCATCATCCAGTCCATTTATTTAAGGCTGATTCTTTGTTTACGTCCTCAGAGGCAGCTTAGTCTTCATGAAGGACACAATGTCATTAAGTCTAAAGAGGCTTTTGTGCCTATGGACATTATCCCGAAAATGTACAGAAAGCTGCCTGCTAGACAAAATGAAGTTTCCAATTTATATGAAATAAAGGCAGAAATGCTCTCCTTTCCCTCTCTTCCATTAAGGTTACATCATGTACAATATATTCCATAATTTCCAAGGCAAGGGTTGGGTGCTCAAATTAAATTCTTAGTCTGTTAATTTAAAATGTGCTATATCGACTTCAGCTGATCCTTTGACGGGGCTCACTTTTGGTTCTGAACCCATTTAATCACTAGAGGGCTCACTTAAGTAAATAAACCAAGGGAAGACTGTGCTAATGTCGATGTGGGTGCACCAGGGTGCTAGTTCCTACATCCCAACACACTGAGGACACAAAGTATTGGTTATAAACGTTCAATGCAAGTTAGTGTTAGTTAGTTAGTGTCTTGCATTTTAAGGAATACAATTGTTACAACTGTTGTACAATGAAAAATTCATATTTATTGACTCAATAATTGACTTAATCTGATTCTAAACCTTGGTGCTCCCCAGATATATAGTAAGCTCAGAGCGGTGAATCACCTTCTTTTTAGTCTGTGATTGAGAGCCTTGGGCTTCAGACCAGCGTGTCCACCACTCCCTCAGCTCGGTGGGTCCTGTGGGCCGTCGCTCCTTTATCTGACTTGGAGGAACTAGAGCATAAGGAGGGTTTAAGTCTTCTCTGGGCAGGAACTTCCTGTTAATATTTACATCCCCATCTGGATCAGATTGTCGCTTTAGGTCCTTGGTTGAAACAGCTGAAATCCCAGTGGCCGTTGTTGCATTTGCACCAACCTTTGAAACCATCTCTGACTCCTTTTGAGCAACGTTTTGAGTGGCAAAGAAATCAAGTCCCTGCATTTTGTGCCTGTACTCCTCCAGTTTGTGCTTGCACTCAATGGCCTTCGCCCTCATCTCAAGGAACTGATGCTGCAAATCCGTCTCGTAACCTTCTTCTGCCTTTAATTCGTTCTCCCAAAACTTGATCTGCTCCATCTCCTCTTCAGCCATTCTCTCCTTGGCTTCCTCCTCATCTTTTTTGGCCCTCTGTTTTTCCTCAAGCTCAAAAATCTGTTTGTCTACGCGTGCTATTTGGACTTGTAAATCTTGCAAACAACTGAGCTGACATATAATGGTTTCTCTTAGACAGTTTTTCTCATCTTCATTTGCAGCACAGCTCGAGCTGAACAGGCCATCAGATTTTGCCTGTTGAGTTTTCCTGGAGTGTTTGCTTTCTTTGCCCTTCGTCTGACTTCCCATGCAGCAGGATGTTTGACTATCCAAGTTTGACTTTAAACTTTTCTGTCCTCTGACTTTGCTCCTGCTAGTTCGACCTGAGTAATCTTTGTCAACAGCGAGAGAAAAATCCAAAGAGGTGCAATTCCTTTTATCAGTCCTCTTACTGCTTTCCTTATCACAGGCAGTACTATAGACCTTGCCTTTACCCAGACTCTCCAGCCATTCCAAGGCCTCTTCCATGAGTGTCAGAGACTTTCTTTTAGGCCTTTTCAGGTCCTCTTTTTGCTGCTCAGTCTCTTGTCTAGAACCGGACAACGGTGGCAGGCTTTGACGATGCAAACTTAGTGAACCGCTGCCCCGCCGCATTCTGGTGCCTGGGTCTTTTCTTCTCAATGGCGGGCAGGGCTGGTATCTACCAACCTTTGTCCTACTCATTTCGTCCCACACTGAGGGTCCGTTGTGGAGCAGTGTGAGTTGGACCTCTCTGGCCTGCTCACCGTACTTCTCAAGTGTCTCCAGAAGGCGTTCGTTGGGCGTCATGCACCGCTCAAAGTCTTTGAATTTCTCTCGTAGTGTGTAGCGTCCAGATTGACCTAAAGAGAAAGATGGCAATGGGGTTGTCAGGTTAACATGTCAGAGTACAAATCTTATTACAGTGTAGAGACATACATACCCAGGGCTTGGGCCAAAGCTATGACCACTTCTTGGCATGTTGTTTCCTCTGTAACTCCACAGACCACGCGTGGGATACCGTCCACAGACACCTTCACTTCCATTGTACCCAATCTGCGATTTGAAAAGGACAGTCAAGTTTAGTCAGTGTCTGGCACATTGTGCAAGGCTCACTTCTCTGTTAAAGGAAGTGGTGGAGACATTCACTGTTATCTGTCTGCCCATCATGTTGTCGCTCAAGCTCGAGGGCAGTTTAAAGCATTTTAATAGGATGTCTACAGTGACCTTTATCCCTATAATACCAAAAATAAATGAACAGAAAACAAGCTTTAAAGAATTAAAATAAATATTCATTCTAAAATATTAGAAGGACCTACCTTTTTGTCCTGCTTGTAGTTAAGATGGTCAAACCTCTCTGCTCTGGGGGAATGTTCTGTTTGGGAGGAACAGTTGAGCAATTAAGACCAATTAAAATTCCCGAAGGCAACTACCACTGTTTATGATCCCACCCATCTTGCATAGTTTCCATTTTCCCTGAAAAAACACAGCAAGATTTAATTTCCCGGCTCATATGACAGAAAAAACAGCAACAGGACACATTTTATCGGGCACTGTCGGTATTGAGATGGTATTAGGAACATGAACAGGGGTCTAAGTTATCAATCAGTGCTTAAGGAGACTTTGAAGTTGGAATGAAGAGGCCTTTAGGTACATATGTGTATTTCCATTACTCAAACCAAATGTATTAGTGTGTAAGTATTTTCTATATTCATCAACAGCCAACTTTCTCAACAGCGACTGCTGAGGCCCAAGTGGCACTTCCGGAGTAATGCTAAATGCTATAACATAGTGTAATGGTGTGTGAAGCAAAGTTCCAGTATTGTGTTATTCCAACAAATTTTACCACGTTTTTCTTTTTTTTTTTGGCAGTCCATGTTTCACCCTAAACTACAGTTTAAGTCATTTAAGAAAAAAGCATCAGTATCACATTATAATGTGAAAGGCTTATTGTTATAACAAGAAGTTTTTCACGTTATAACAAGATATTTTAATATTATTACAACATTCAGACAATAAACTTTTCTTGTTATCATGTGAAATCATTATTGTATTCTATAACTTGATATTATAACAATATAAGTTATCACGTTATAATGTGAAAAGTTTCACATTTAGACCAGATAAATGAAACCAGAAAAGTGACAAAGACAACAAACTTTCATGTTCGAATATGAAAAAAAGAAAAGAAAGAAAAGTCCTAGACTAACTACAAAACAAAGGTAGTGCCATTTGTGGAGTAAAATCAGTGTTATGAAACTTGCTGTGTGTGAAAACAAAGGTCCTGTATATACATGTGTGCACCAGCGATTATGTGGTTTTTCTGGTTTTAGATTTGGGTGTTCCTCTTTATCTTTCTAACAGGAAGAGTGATTACAATCCAAACAGAACATGTAAACATGCTGAACTTGTAAACTGCACCAGTGAGCCATTACATTAAAGCACATACTCATTCCTCACTGAGTCTGCACTGTTACATATTCTCAACCTCCATTCATTAAAAGCAGGTCTATTACTTTTCAAAAGTTCAGATTTTACCTAAAGCTAATATACTTCTTTTGGAGATTTATAAAATAAATCTGTATTGTGTAAAATATGTTGCATGTAATAAACTCAGTTCAGACAACACAGTTGCTATAACGCTGCAGTGACATTCACTTGTCAGTGTGGCTGTTGGAGGAACCAAGGTTTCACATTTCTTCCTACATGCACTTGGAGGATTCGTCACCAGTGAACTTGACACCAGTGATATTCAATACCAAACAAAACAATGTTATATGACACTAACTTGAACTATTCATATCTATTAATACATTAGAAATATATAATTGGAGGTTGCTTTTTTGGGTTTGTTTCATTCTGGTGTTCACAGCTTTGGTGTTCATTGCGCTCATGTTTTGCAGCTTCTCACAGATTATCATACTGAATGATATATGAAATGAATTAGAAAAGTTAAAGCCATAGCAAACGTCCGTATGGACAAACACAACTCTCAGACTAGAAGCCAGACATGGGAACACCTGTTGTAACTTAGTAATGTCTGACAGTCCGGGTGATGATGATAGGAGTAATATGAGACAGGGGAAACTTGGACTCTGTGCTCCCTCTTGCCCATGTAAACCACATGTCCAACTACTGATAATCTCTTAGGTTCATGGTGAGGAACAGTGAGATCTTTGTACACCAGGAAGAGCCAATCTTCAAAGAACTGTTCATTCATGCCAGCCTGTGCATTTGTTGCCACTTGCCTTTAACAGTTTACCCTTCAAGTTCACATTTATGTGGCAACTTGGCAAAAATCTGAAATGTTGCATAAAGAATTCATACAAAAACGTTCAACCTCAGCTTGTAGTTATTGTGGTCAGATCATTTGAGATGAGCAACTGAAGATTAAAACCAAAATTTGTTGAGAAGAAATTCATTCAATTTCTTTAATTAATAAATTGTTTTTAAATATTCTGTCGAAACAGCAATATGGCATGAGGAAATTAAACCAATCCATGTCTTGTGTTCAAGAGGATTCATGTGTCAATTCAATTTAATTCCAATTATGAGTAAAACATAAACTGAAGTTTAACTTGGAATTGTAAAGGTGTCTTTTTGAAAAGGATTAACTGAAATTGATTATTATTTACAAAATGTCCAGTTTCACCAGTAGCTTTCCAAAAGTTAAAACTTTTGTCTGAAATTTTTATTTGTCAGTCTTTGGCTGATTTGTCTGACTGCCCATTTCTAACCTGATCTCTTTAACTTGTACCAGAAGAGGAACTTTGACATTTAGGATCGCATTCCCTAAAAATAGATGGCTTGTTAAGTGTCTTCAAGCTGCACAGTGTCTTAGGATGAACGGATAAGCAGACGTGTGTTACACAAGTGAATGGCAAAGTCTGTGCAATGATGAGGAGGATTTGTCCTCAGTAACAACCAATAAAACATAGCCATTATTTAAAGGGTAATTCACGACAAAATTACAAAAGATATGCAGATAGTTAAGGTCTTATTTGTCTTGGTTTTGAAATATCTCTAGGCTTTTTGCCCCTACCCTGATAAAATGGAAGTGCGTGTGTGGAATTTTGTTTGTGGTGCTCAAAGCAGTAAAAATTACATTTAAAAACCTTTTAAACCAGCAGTATTGAAGTACTGAAGTGTCTTGAGACAATGACATATCGCAGCCGCCTAACCTGGCAGGAGATACCTCCTGCCCCTTACGTGAAGCAGATGGCATAAATCACTTTCTTCCATCGCCCTTCCATTGTCTCAGATTAGAGTCTTGTGGTTCAGACATTTGCGACTTCATAGGGTTTTCAAGAGCCCCCCCCCACTGTTTTATTTCGTCGACTGGCCCATGACACCTCAGATGGTCTCGACAGTGGAACCAGCATCCTGGAACCACTCAGTCCCTCAGGTCTACTCACCACTTAGTTCTGCCCTCCCTCTCCTCTGCCCGCCTTGTTCTGCCATTCTTCTTAGTCATCTGGTCTCTGTCCGCTTGGTGATGTCCCTGACCAATTTCTTGCAGACTGGCCCTCTGACCCTGTGGTTTATCAATGATCTCAGAGTGACTGCCCTGGCAAGCCCCTGCAACCAACTTCCACCGGGAGGTTCCAGGCTCCCAATCCTCTCTGTTGGCTTCCTCTCTCGTGCTCATGCGCCTTCTCAATCCTTTCCTCCCAGGGTACTGTTAGCTTCAAGAGAGCCAGGTTTGGCAGTTCTTGACCAGAGTACGTCAGGACAGTAATTCTTCTGTTAAATTGAGTTGCCTTCCAAGGTAAACTTTCCCAGTCATTCACTGTAGCAAGGATCCCTGTACCCCCAGCCTTTCTGCCTTCTCCCCTGGACAGAAGAATCTTTTGAGTCCTCACCTGATCGTGCCGCCATTTGAATCTCCCATCTGTCAGACTTGTTCGGCATGATGTCAGTATGTGTTCCAGGTTTGCTGGTCTCCCACACAGGAAAAGCAGAAATTCTGAGCTAACTTGTACCTTTCGAGGTCTGTTGGTTTTGCTAGGACCTTGTTCACACACACTGGTAGCCTCAAGCCTTATACTTCCTTGGAAGGCCATTCCTCTCCAGAGCTCTTACCCACATCTCTGCTTAGTTGAGCATCTCATTCATACTTGCCTTGAATAGATATTCCCAAAAAACTGAGTACAGGCCTCTAGAAAAAGAGAGGTTGCTTTTCAGAATCAGAATCAGAATCAGAAATACTTTATTGATCCCTGTGGTTTGTTAAGTAGTAAATATCTAATGTGATTCATTCCTTTATGCAGCAAATTTGCTCTCACCAGTTACATGAAGATTGATACTACTTATGTGTGGCAAAGTTGGCTGGTTGACCACTTTGGTCTAGACTGAAATGTCTCAATAATAATTAGATGAATTGTCACTGTGAGTATGTTAACATGCTGACGTTAGCATTTAGTTCAAAGCACCAATCAGAACAGCTTCACTGAGCCGCAAGCGTGATGGGAACTTGATAGCAAAAAAGTCACTAACGTTGTTCTGTGAAGGTTAACAGAATTAGATCTACTGTGTAGAATTTCTTTAAATATTTCTCTCTGATCTTTGCCGTAAAAATGCCCATAAATTAAAAGACAAAAACAAGCCTTCGTTGTCCTAACCAAGACATATGTGAAACGGCTCAACATTATTTTAAAGGGCCTATTCCACCTGATCTGATCTAATCAAATTACTAAGGTCAGGTGCGAGGATCCCATTTTCCAGGTCCAATTTTCAGGATTGTCATGTTTTCAAATTAAGCACCATGGGAAAAGTCGTGTTGCATATGCACTGTGCACTGCACATGTGCACCCCTCTAAACACCCACCTACCATGTGCATAGAGACTTGAGCAGATATCTGGGATGTTATATAATATGAGCCCCCCCCCCACACACACACACATACTCATCTCTTTTGTCTACACGCTGTGCCTGTCAAGGGGTCCTGCATGCACACATAGACCACTTAAAATAGACTTGGACACATATGAGTTGCCCCGTTACGTTGAGGCGTGTTCCGTGTGGGCATAGAAGGTTCTGGTTACACTTGAGGCAGAGGGAGCTTAATATTGCACCGACCAAGCTCAGGGCTCCACACTTCCCTTCTACAGTGGGCCAGTGGCTGACCACCCTTTAACAGTCCTCAGGGAGCGTTTTACTGGAAGAGCATCACCATGCCTAAAGTCTTAGTGCCAGGTGAGTATGAGCAGAATGACTCTGGTCACCTACAGAAAGAGGGTTTGAATAGCATTTTCAAAAAGTTATTTTACATTGACACGTCACTACAAAAATTAACTGAGGAAAGCCTTCACCAAAAGTGTTTTCAGTTTCTTTTTTTCCCCCAGAACTTGTAATGTATGTCTGTATATTATAGAGGTCATATCCCTCACTGCGTGAAATATCAACAACTGTTAAGGTACTAAATTCCCATATGTTTGCCAGTGCTACATCATCATTCTAATGGATGGTACTGACAGCTTTAATGACAGGTTCATTGGGGTTAAAATGCATATAGTTCCAATATGAAGTTTATACTGACTAATATATAGTCATCACAAAGTCTCTTTCTTAGATTTGGACACTTAAATAACATAATAAAATTTAATCTGTGTTTGCACCAAATAGCTGACAAGTTTGAATGTTCCTATTTTAGCTCAATCAGCAGATTCCAACATCAAAATACCTTTCTTCACGTCAGTTGCATTCATATCATAAAACAAACTGGCAGTGCAGAATCTAGTGAGCAATTGCGTATCTGCTGCGAAAAAGGAGAGTGATGTTTGATGGATGTGACTTGTCAGCAGATTCTCCTTCATCAAGTGTGACAGAAGGTTGGGCCATGCAGCAACCTTTGCTCAATTCATACTTGCTGTTTCGCTACTACTGTTCTAAATGCTGTTGTAATGGTTGCTAATTATAGGCTTACCGCCACCAAGCACTGGGCAACTGGCAAGTATGAAGTCGCATTATGCAAGAGGTAAAAAATAGAAATGCAATGGTCTGAACAGCTGCCGGCTGAAGAGCTTGATTTCACATCTTAATAGAGTTAGGTGGTTGTAATGATTTAGCAGGTAATGTCAGAGAGTGTTTACACTTGTTGTGATATTCTGATGTGACTGCAGAGATTTCACACCAATGTTGTCATGCGGTCCATGCAGGGAGGTTTTACGATCTGCTGGAGCAGGTGTGGAGAGCTGACAACAAATGCATTAATGATCAAACTGATCAAATTCAGATCAGTCTTATATAAAAGGGCCAGTTTACTGAAACCCCCCCAAAAAACAGATTGTCTAGTGGGATTTAGCCATGCAGAGTGTTTTTGGTTTTATTTACAGAGATTTTGAGATACAATGGAGGTTAATTTAATTTGTGCTGAAATATTCAAAACTTTACCCTGAAAAACTCAACTGTGTCAGGAAACGTGTGCAGGACATGGCACATAATCCACAGAACTAACAATTTCATTTCATGTCATTAAGAGTATTTTCTATTAAAGGAATGCTCCCAAAAACAAGCAAAGTCTGTGGACAGTTTTCTTTTTGTGTAGCTCACTTGCTTCCTTTTAATTACTGCTTTGAGACATAACCACACTTGTTTTGCTTCCCTCTAACCTGGACCGTCTCACCCTAAATGGGACTTTTTGCTTACCGAGCAGAGGGAGGAAGTAAGTATGGCGCTAAGAAACTATCCAAGAAGTTGGGGGTAGATGTGAAGCATATCAAATGCATGGATGTGACTCATGTCACTCAGTGACTGATGTGTCACATCACCAAATACTTTTTCATGCATTTAAATGCAATGCAATTACAAACGTAATATGGATCTTAGTAAATGAAGATCTATTCCACTGAAAATGGAAAGTAGGCTAATGGGATATAGTGGAAATGGACACCATTTATTAATGTATTGTTCACATTCAGTATCAGTTATCTGCTTCATTATATTGGTTTGGATCAGATGCTTCACAAACAGCATTATTAGTTTAAAACTGAACTGAAAGTGATTATTTACATTAATGAATGACTTTTCCCAGGTAGCTCACCGACTCCTCCACCATGGGAATGCTTATCAATATGCAAAGCAGCACACAAACAAGACTTCACTGACCTTCAGACTTGTTTGAACCATCAAAGGAATGCCAGGGATACACAGGAAATGCATCTTTACACGCATGGAGATGGTAGCGGTGCTGTAATGGAATCACATCAACTGAGTATCCTCCATATTTGATTCAAAACTAGGAAGCACTGAGACCACAAACTTATCTCTGCACGTATCCTGAAGATGCACTTACCAATTCTTTGTCCAGCTGCTGTGTCCGAATATATTTCAAGAGTAACTGTTAAATCAGTTTAACAGTCACATGTCCTCTCCATTATTCATCCCCTTTATCTTAATCCAACTTATCCATTTACCATAAACTGTATTTACTGGTCTAATGTCTCATTTCATTGCTCATATCCTCAGCATCTTCTATTGCATGTATTTCTAATCTATATTCTATATTGTTAATAACTGATGAATGTTATAGTTAGTGGTGGAAAGTTTGCTATACTTGAGTACAGTTTTGAGGTATTTCTTTAATTGAGTATTTCTATTTTATGCTACTCTATACTTAATAAATTTTGGAAGCCAATATTGTACATTTTACTCCACTACATTTATTTGGACAGTTTTAGTTACGTGCTACTCTGCAGTCGGATTATTAGTAAAAAATATAATCAACCAGTAAATGCTTATGTATTTTTATGGATCATGCTGGTATGTGGCAGTACATAAAGTAAATAATATAAGCCCCACCTTTACCAGCTGCAACATTAGTGGTACTTACATATTAATGAATTTTACCTGTAGCACAGTTTTACACTGTGGTATTGCTACTTTTACTTCAGTAAAAGATACTTAAAAGTACTTCCTCCACCACTAATTATAATGCAGGTACATTTCATAAAGTGTTATATATTCATAACTACGTTAATTATATGATGCATTTGATTTGCATATATTGTAAAACAGTTAAGGGTTGTATGTCATCCTCATGTATAACACCTACCTACCTAACCAATGCTTTTCTAACACTCTCTTTTTTGGGTTTTGTTCCGGGTGGTGCTACTTTCTTGCTGGGCATAATCAGGTCAAGAGAGTAAGTATGGAGAGTGAGAAGTAGAACCCCAAACCGCTTCAGTCGGTTTATGTGCCGTAGCAGAGTTGGTGTCTTAGAGCTGAAAGCCTTGACTTTTGGCTAGTGAGTGCATGTAACAAGTAGAGTTTGATTTAGAGAGTAGTTATCTCTGGAGTAGGCATCATGTAATGCCACTCATGCTGTGTATTGTCACTGTGTTTCTTATGAAACTTGAACGTCTGTTGATGTACTGTTGTTTGTAGCTTGGTTCATAACTCCAGTCATTTTAGACCTTGACCCTCTTTTCCTTTCATTTCTTTTCAACATATTGAATAATTCTGACCAAAATCATTTCCCTTACTTTACTTCCCAATAGAGGTTTTAGAAAATGCAAAATAAACAGTGAAGATGATAAGAAAACTGGGTCTGGAGTTAAAAACCTACATTAAAAAAGGCTTTAATGTCCTGTATCCATATGAGTAGACAAATGTGTGTGCCCGTGCTTTATCACGTTAGTTCCTCTATATGCATGGGACGTTGTGTTTGCAGCCCAAACTGGAGGTCAGAGTTGCAGACTTGTAGTGATTGAGTCAATCTTTGGTTTGGTCGTATACAACGCATGTGCTGGAGTCTGTACACCTCAGGTTAGGTAAGGTATGTGCCTTTTT